TAGCCAGCCTTGACATCACTAATTTCACCTTCTTCATCCTCCTCAAAATAATCTTCTTCGTTTTTATTCGTCTTCTGCCAATGTTGAACATGTGACCACCTGCAGAGGATCGAGAAGATGCAGGCAATCCAAAAGTCATTTGAAGGGGTTTTTTACTATTAGAAATCATAAATCCGCTGTAACTTGACTCTTTCGTCTTATTATTAGTAGACATATCAGACATGATACAATATGTTTTAATTTTTAATTAAAATAACAAATAACGATAAGATTTTGTAATCTGTAATACGGAATTCGTAAGTGAAGTTTCGCAAGTTTTGAATGACATCGATATGTAATATGGAATGGTATAGGTATAGTTTATTAAGGTTATTTTGGGTTTAGACTATCATAAATACAATTATTTATAAAGATCACTGCGTTTTCGGCATTATTCAATTTGTAGTTGAATTTCTCAATTTTTCTAACAAGACTTTTATCATCTTGATGAGTTAATAAACTGCGTAAATATGCCAAATAAAAGTGTCACGTCTATAAATGAAGTTACAACCCTTTAGTTATTCATTTCTCAATGCATGTCTTATAATTTCTAGCTATTAGCCGTTATCTCGACCTCACGTCTGTAACAATATCATATGAAGATCCTAGTAAAGTTAATGAACTACTAACCGTTCACAACAAATCCAGAATAGACTTCACCATTCAGCATAAAAATTATAAATCCCTATCTTTTCTTGATGTCCTTGTCACCTGCAAAAACTAAAAAAAAAAGGCATTTGCCTCAATGGAAAAAGTGAATGCACTGAGCAATTTAAAAACAGTACAACAAGAACATTCGTCAACAGCGCCTTCATCCACTCATCATCAACCAAAAAACGTGATGCGGAATTGAAAAGAATTACAAATCTCTGGGTAAACAATGGATACTGCACAACAATGATTGAAAGTATAATTTAAAATAAATTACAACAACTTAACAACCCACAACACAATGATCCAAACGCTGACATCATCTTCTATTATAGGATCATATGAACAAACACCAACTACAAAACGGACGAATCCGTCTTAAAACAAATCATTTATAAAAATTTCAAACCGACTAACCCTTCAGACAAAATAAATCTACAAATTCATTATAGGAATGCAAAGACCTCAAGCCTTGTCATTAACAACATGGTTCGGCTTTAAAACGTAGCCATCTGATATATGAATTTACATGTTCCCTTGACGGTTGTGCACGTCAGAATGCTTTATTTATCGGAGTAACTACAACGTCGCTATCTAGACGTCTGACCATACCCAAATGGTAAGGTTCTATAAAAACACATTAGAGCACACACATAATATTGAAATTACAAAAGAAGGTCTGGACAACAACACCAAAATAATATATTGTAATTCCAGTCATTCCCATCTGAAATTAGCCATAGCCATTCTCATCGACATAAAACAACCTCTGATAAACAAACAAAAAAAGATTTCAACAATACTCCTGACAAGAAGGACAATAATAAAATATACTATGGTACCGATGACGACACTGAAGAAAGCAACATCGACCAAAGTGCAAGTAAATGATACCGAAGCAATAAAGCATAACACCGAAGCAATAAAACATAAAACACCAAAGTAGTCAGCCCAAACAAAGAAACCATATAAATAAATTAAGAAGATAGTAAAATTAACAAAGTCAGTAACAGCAATAAATGCAAATCACAGGAACAAAAGCCTGAGTTAAACAAATTTCCTATATAAACTGCGAAAAGTATTGGGTTATACAAATTACCCACATATATAAAATGTATATCCTGAATTTTATTTTGTTAATATCATTGATTGGTATAACATTTCTTTTTATGATTTGTTTGAGGACGACTTTGCCAATTTCATGTGCCGTTGATATATGATTTCTGTAATATAGGATTATGTCGTTGCCATTGTTATTTTTGAATATATTGCTTTTTTGCTGTAGTCTTTTCTTTGTTGAATAGTTTTTTCAATAAATGAGGTTTTGAGCCATTGCTACAAAACGTAGTAGATAGTAATTCTTTTCAGTTTTGTATTGCGATCATCAGTTGAGGATGAATGCGTGAATGAACGGTTAACAAAGGATTTTATTGTACTTATTTTGAATTTTTCCATATGTTCACTTAATACATTTAAACAAATATCTTTATTCGTTACTTTGTTCTTCATGCGTTACCAAAACAACCAGAAATGGCAATGAATTTTCACTTTTGTGCTCGATGGTGAAATTCAATTTTGATCGGTTCAAGGTTGCTAGTACTGGTTGACATGTTCCGGATCATCGTATGCAACGAAGATATCGTCAACATATCTGGCATAAATGCTTGTTTTTAATTTCGAATTGTCTCTTAATGTTTTGCTATCAAGATGCCCTAAAAAAATTTGCAAACAGGACACCAAGTTGTGAGCCCATGGCTACACCGTCAATTTTCTTGGATAGCTTGCCTGTGGTGGGGGTGTGGAAAGGTGCTTCGGTGGTGCAGATTTAGAGATTTGAAATGTGTTTTTGGTTTTTATAGGAGCACCATGTCTGTGCGATAAACACTATTGATGATAATAATAATATTATTTGTGTCATGGATGGGAACATTTGTAAACAAAGATTCAACATCCAGAGAAGCAATATGATTTGATGGTTTGTTAGTGTTCAATAGATTGATAAATTCCTGTGAAGACTGGAGATTATAGTTTTTTATCAGTAACACACCTTATTGCCAAATATTTAAACAAAATTCTGACCCCATACATATAATCTTCAGTCCTCACGGAAATTGATCAATCTTATGAACACTAACAAGCCATCAAATTATGATATAATTCGCTAAAACTTTTTATACGTTTATGTTTCGTCTAATAAAATTTTATTAAAGTGAATCGGCACTACTTCAATTTTATTTTTAGAACTTTTACTTAATCAATTCATTCTTTCATATAAACAAATATATAAAAAGTTTTTTTTGGTCCTATTCAAAATAAACAACTTTTGAAAAACTTTTCCTTCATTTTATTGAACAAAAAATTTTTCTGATTGACGTCACCGTAAATAATGAAAAATAGCCATTCAATAAGAAGTTTCATTTTTTTAAATTTTATTTCCATTGTTGTTTGTGATAAATTTGACGAACTTCCTTCAGTGGAAGAACTTCAAGATATTAAAAAACCGGATTTGCCTGAAGATTTTTTTTTAACGCTAAATTATACAGCTCCTAATCTTGTTTACATAGAAGTTGGATCCTTCTGGATAGAATCATGCGCGTATTTAGGTGCAATGCAAAGAATTATGCCAAATCCGTTGTTTTTTTGGTATGGACCTAATAGCAGAAGACCGGTTTTTGGACACCGATTCATACCTCTCAGCTCTGGAGACATGGTTTTTATGCGTCCAACACCGAAGGAAACGGGGACTTATTATTGCAGATTAGCTAATAATGAAGTTCAGGATTATTTTGAAGAATATGTTAGATCGGTAATTATATTTACACCTCCTGTGTGGATACGCGAAATATTTTTGCATTTTTTAGTTCCTTCCTGTTCAAAAAAGGTTAAAGATTATATCACAAGTTCGGCCAAAAAATATTTATGCAAGCAAGACACAGATTGTTTGTATCAGGTAAAACGCATTTGACAATTTTATAAATTTTAAATTCACTATTTTACATTACTCAGACTTATCTCGTAAAGTGCAGTTCAACTTCGGAGTTTGAAGAAATGCAAGAAGCCCGCTTACTTATTCGTCAGTATTTACACGAAACTTTTCCAGCGTTGCTACCTCCTAATTGTGGTATAGAATGTTTTAATGCACGATCTATAGAAGAACTAGAAACATTTTCAAATCTTACTTTAAAAGAATTACGAACATATATGAGATTAGTTCATCGAGAAACTGTACAGATGCTTTTGCAAGATAAAAAAACAACTATGAAACCCCGTCCAGTATGTAAAGAAGGATATGAGTTGTTCAATCACAACGTTTGTGTACCATGCGATATCGGATATGCACGCCATTTCAACATTGACGATCAAAAATGTTATGCATGCGGCATGCTTAGTTACTCACCAGTACTTGGAAATCAAGAATGCCTCTATTGCCCAATTTTTAAATTAACGGCTAAATTTGGCTCAACAAAATCAGACGACTGCATATATTTTTTTCAGTCACCGATTGCTTTGGTTCTTTTAATACCGTTATTAGTACTTTTAAGCCTAATTATCGGTTTTGTTGTGTCCGTTTGTTGCGCTACTGATACGTCAAAAAGGGCAAAATCGTTCCAATTTTTTCAGGAATGTTTTTGCAATGACCAAAATAAGGTTAAATACAAAGAATTACAGAAAAAAGATGAAATGTTAATGCAAAAACTCCGAAGTAAAATTAGATAATAGTTTAGATCGATGTTCGGTGCAAACATCAGTGGTCATGGTAAAATTAATTTTATCGTCCTAATAATTATTACATTTACAGACCTGTTTGAAAAGAAATAATTTTCTTTAAAAATGGTGTTATATATTTAAAAAATATGCAGTGATTTATGGAATCTACCGAATTTCTAGCGTTGGAGAGATTTTTATTACATTTTTTAATATTTCGAACCAAATTTTGTCGTCATTATTTATTTTATTAACGTTAGAATAATATACAGTTTTTCAATTCATTTTCGAGCGTATAGTACCTATTTCAATTTTTCAATCATCTTCATCACTTGTTGCAGTTTATATAAAGAATTTGTGTAATAATAACGGTAAAGGCATATAACAGGAACAAAGAATCCAACAACAGCCTGTAACGATCCTACCAACAAAGAAATTACCCACAAAAAGAAACAATGGAACTTAGAGTTCCTTTGATAAAATTCTATAAATACTAGATGAACTATGTATGTGTATATATATATATATATATATATATATATATATATATATATATATATATATATACACTGGGGACTTCAATGTGCACGTTGAAAGGACGAATGATCCTTATGCTGCTAATTTAAATAATATCTTCGATAATTTTCAACTCATCAATCGTGTAAAAGCACCAACACATTTACGTGGTGGTACACTAGATTTGATAGTAACCTCCGAGGATTTTCCAGTTCATGATTGTTTAGTCCATCCAAGTGGAATTTATTCTGATCATAGTTTTATTTGGGCTGAACTGTCGATGACTCGAGGATATTTGGTTGGAATTAAAAAAGTTTCTAAAATGTGGAATCAGATGAATGTTGATGACTTCATCAAACTCGTGCTTGAATCTCCACTCTCCAAATCATGTCAAAGCAATGAGGTAGACAAGGAATTGTATTTATTTAACAACGAGTTAAAATCTATTGCTGATAAAGTTGGCCCTATTCGTGCAGTGACCACCAATAACGTTCGTATGGCTCCGTGGTTTGATAATGATTGCAGGTTAGCCAAGCGTTTGTGTAGAAAAATGGAAAGAAGATACAGAAAAAGCTCACAGTTGATTCATCAAGATGAATGGAAGACAGCTTTGAAGAATAAATCGAAACTTTTCTCTAAAAAACGTCGTCAGTATTGGACAAAAATTGTTGATGACAATAAGATGAAACCAAAAAATCTTTGGCGGGTTGTGAACAGCATTCTCTGTAGGGGTCGTAACGATAAATCTTACTCGGATATGGATGAACTAACACCTGATCGATTTATGTGCTATTTCAATGAAAAGTTAAGCAAGCTGAGAGATAGTGTCAACAACGAGGCTCAACCTAGCCTGGAAGTATTCCAATCAGGTGTCAATAATAGTTTGTTCTCAACGTTTTCTATGGTTTCTGAAGAGGAGGTAATACAGTTAGTTCAAAATTCAACTACAAAGTCGTGTCAACAAGATGTAATACCTACCCACATATTAAAGAAGTTTATAAAACTATTCGCACCATTTTTGGCAGGCCTGATAAACAGCAGTTTAAATGTGGGACAGTTTCCTTCTGGCTGCAAGCATGCTATCATAACTCCGCTGCTGAAGAAACATAATCTAGACGAAAATGATGTTGGGAACTACAGACCAATTTCTAATCTGTCTTTCCTATCAAAAATTATCGAACGTGTGGTTGCCAGGCAAACACTCAGTTACTTGAACAATAACAATTTATTGCCGAAATATCAATCTGGATTCCGTCAGTACCATTCGACTGAAACTGCTCTTTTGCAAGTTTTCTCAGAAGTGTACGGGGCAATTGATGAACAAAATGTGGCAATGCTAGTCTTTCTTGATATGTCATCCGCATTTGATTGCGTAGATCACAAAGTACTTTTAACAAGACTACGTTGCAGTTTTGGAATCTCTGGTGCTGTTCTGAGGTGGTTTGAGTCGTATCTAGTAGGTAGATCACAACAGGTATCATTCGGTGGTAAATTGTCTGAGGTTAATGTTATGCTGTCTGGTGTGCCACAAGGTTCGGTTCTAGGTTCTATTCTATTCCTGATCTATACATCTGAAGTACTAAAGATAATAGAATCATTTGGTTTTTCAGGTCATGCTTTTGCGGACGACTTGCAAATTATTGTTACGAGCAGGCCAGATTCTTTTAAATCAGAATTGGACAAACTGGTTAAATGTTTGTCTGGGGTCAATAAGTGGATGCAAAACAATGGTTTAAAACTAAACCAAAACAAAACTGTTTTTTTACCAATTAGAACATGGCAGCAACTTTCAAGAATAGATATAAATTCAATAACTGTTAATGATGAGGTCATCCCATTTTGTCAGACAGCAGCTAATCTGGGCTTCATGATTGATTCAGGTTTGTCAATGAAACAACACATTAAGAAGCTCTCAGCCGAATGCATGTTTCAAATCAGGAAAATCAATCTAATTCGACGATCCCTAGATACATCCACGTTGTAGACGTTGGTTTGTGCACTTACGCGTCGACTATTGCAACAGTTTGTTTTATGACTTACCTGATTGATCAATGGCTGTACTTCAATCAATACAGAATCGAGCCGCAAAAGTTGTTGTTGGAGCTCTAAAATACGATCATGTGTCTCCAGTATTGAAGGAACTTCATTGGCTAACCGTCGACAAAAGAGTGTTGTTCAAAATTTCAACACTTGTCTACAAGTCTATCAACGGTCTAGCTCCATCTTATTTGTCTGACAGGTTCAAAAAGAGATCTTCAAATGCATCTGGAACACACTTGAGATCCGATGTTTCCAGCCTGCTGTTGATCCCAACAACGAGTCTCCGTATAGGCTCTCGTAACATTGCTGTTTCTGGACCAACTGTTTGGAACAACCTGCCTGCTGCTCTCAGAAATCCGGACCTAAACCTGCGTGATTTCAAGAAGAAACTGAAAACTCATTTATTTTCATTGTAATGCATTATTGATCAATTCTTTCTGTTTAGTCGACATGTTCTAAATATTATTTCGTATTTTCGTTATATTGAATCGATTACTTTTCTGTTTATGACCAAATTTTAATCTTATTTCTGTGCGATGTATTATGATTTCTCGTTTGTTATTTCAATTATGTTGTTAAGTTCAGTTTTTGTTAGATAGCGCTTTTGAGATTCGTTTAATTAGCGCTTCATAAATGTTTCAATAATATATATATACATATATATATATATATATATATATATATATATATATATATATATATTGCAACTGATATTTGCGCTGTGGGTTGTGGCGTTGGTATCTACAGTGTTGGCACTGTTGTTGTTGTTATTGTTGATGTTGTTGATGT